ATGTACACATTTATGGATACTCCGTTTACTTTTTTTTATCTAATTTAAAATTAGTTTTTACTTTTCTATACCAAATACTCTTATTCCTAGATGATCATTATTGGGGCAGAAAAAATAAGCTTTGTGTTATTCCTTTAGCCATGATTTTAGTGAACTTAGAATTGCAGAACTATAAATATTCTGAAAATCATCCTATCCACAGAACTGTCAAAAATGTGGATGGGGATGACTATGAAAGGAACAAATATTATCTGGGTGATATAAATTAATTTTTATTATTTATTTTAACATACACTGACAACACATATCCAAAACAATTCCACTCTCTATTGAGTCTCTTGACATTTTCATTCTATACTGTGTTTGACATTTCATTCTGTAGTTTGTACTGCAATTTTATATAGCCAGTATATTTAAATTTATATAGTTCAGCCTTCACTGATGTTCCCAGTTTAATGTATTTGGGAGATTGTTTTTCCTTATCCTGTTAATTTTATTTAGGGCTGGTCTCCACTGCCCTCAGTAGAGCTTAGTAGCGATATATCAGTAACTATAGTGTATCACATCACAAAACAGATCAGTTTGATTCTGCTGGCAGAAATGCTTAATATATATATGTACAAATGTACAATCTCTATTTAACACGAACTATAAGAAATAAACCTACATGCAGCCTTTAAAAAAACATTTGAATATTTATTAATGCATTCTTTGAAAAGACTGGGATTAGAACAGTCTCCTTCCGAGTTTTATTCTGTTTGCCAAATGTTTAAATTATATGTTTTTTTAATACTAAGGAATTCAGCTTGCAATACTTTTTTTACTTGCATTTCTATTTGTTAAATATGTACGTTCTCCAACCCCAGTGATATAATCTCTGTGAACGAAGAAGCTAAATTGTGTTTATCAGCATAACCATACAGTCATTTCAAGAAGGCCTGCAATGCATAAATCAGATATCATGAAACACAACCAATTGCAAGATTTACTTTGGGCCATTTGTCATACATGCAGACATTGTAGCAAAGTGGGTCTGTCTTGAACAGGAGACCCGTGTTCAAAGATGCTCAATAACATTATTTTACTTCAGCAACAGTAGCATAAAATAAAATAAATGTGGCAGTCTTAAGTTTACACAGGGAACATTCGGGAAATGAACAAATGATGAAAGCAGTGTCATGCATGATGAAAGTGCCAACCCTTTTGTATGTGTATTGCAATATCGTATGGACATATAAAAGGGACTGATTTTGTCATTTTGATAAAAGCACTAGGTTATGTTTATTGAAAGCAAAGCTCATCTTACTATAAGCTGAACTCTCATTCATCAAAAGTAAATTTTGGTAAGAAGAGGTCTTTTTGCAATGCTCTGGCTAATAGATGTCTTTAACACACTCTAGCTTAGCTTGCTTTTAGGCACCTGGCAAGTAAAACTTTTTTAATTGCTTCAGCATTTCAAAACATTTTAAATGCTTTTCTAATTCCTTATATATTGTCTCTCTAAATTCACATTTAATGTCATTTAAGTGACATTTAAGTTCACTTTTGAGAGTTGTTTGGCATAAATCTATTTCAGCAGTACTATCTGAACTCGTAGATTAAAGAAAGTATACGTTTAACTTTTAAATAAACAAGATAAATATTTAACAACCCTACCTGAAAAATAAATATTTAATATCCCTAAAAACAGGGATTTTATAACATGGGAAATGGTATAGAAATGAAATACAATGAATAAATTAAGGCAACCAAAGCTGGTGTTTTTCTTTCTTTATCTTTTTCTAATATCCCATTTTCCTGTGCCATTAAAAGATGCATCCCAAGTTACATAACACATGTATATGTCTATCTTGACTATAGCTAGTATCACTTAGTTGAAAGATACAGCAATATCTTCATACTGAAATAAAACTTCTTATATCACTTGGGATTGTTTGTTTTTGACAAGTTCTTGGAAGACAACACCTCCTAACTCAGTGATAATTCAGCAGATATCCTAGCTGCCTTTTCTACTTACTTCAGAAAACAGATATTTTAACTATTTTAGAGAAGGTGAATGAGATTTTGCACTTGGGATAGAAAACTTGTGAAATAATATGACAACAGGTTGGAAGTGGTTGTGTCTGGCAATCCATACATCATACTTGGTATTGTCTTAATGCCCATTGAGAATATAGTGAAAAGTTAACTGCTGATACAAGAAACCTCCTACCTAAACACAGATATATAAGGACAATATCACCAAAGCATCCATCATCTTGGCAAATAGAATTTGAAAGCATAATAAAGTATGTACATTTCACTTACTGACTGAGACAACTTTTTAAATAAAACTAGAGACAGCAGGATTGATGCTATTGATTAGGAAAACTATCATTTTAAGGGCTGGATAGAAAGAGATAGCTATTATCCTTTCAAACGCTACATACTGTATTAACGACTCCCATTTTTAGGACGTGTCTCCCACCAGACAAGTCCCTCTATATTAAAGCATATAATATTCACAGCCAAAAGGATGATATGTAATGCAAGTGCATAATGATTAATAGGGAAAAAAGATAAAATCAATTAGAGGCATGGCTATTCTGGGCGATGATGCCATGAGGAAGGCAATGCAGGGCTGAACCACAGGTCTCAAAGTCAGGGGACAAATTATTACCCAGAGCAGCAAATGATAGGAGCTGCAGCACCAACTAAAAGCAAACAGCAGCAAACTACTATATTTCTGCACATGACAATCACGATTGATGCTATTATTATTATATTTTTATCCTGCTTTTTTATATTTCTTAGTGATATGTTTAGCAATGAACATACCTAATTCTGCTGTCTCCTATTTTCCCCACAACCCCATGAAGGATGTTGGGCTGCAGGAATGTGAGTGACCCAAAGTCACCCCAATTGGCTTTCATGCCTAAAGTAGGCCTAGAACTCACAGTCTCCTGGTTTTTAGTCAGTATCTAATTACTATACCAAACTGGCTACTCACTACATCTTTGTTCTTTTCTTGATGTTTCATTCAAAAGTATTTATAGAAAGCCAGCAAATAGGCTACATCTCTATATCTATCTACATCTACCTACACATCCAAAGATCTTCATGTTTAATTTAGTTGATTATTTGAAAGTAGATTATACATCTCATGCAAAAGTGACAATAAATTTATAAAAAACAGTCACTGATTTAATTATAAATAAGGTACACAAAACAAGAAAGGTTGATACAAAGTTGAAATCAAAATAGGTATGTTTCTTAGTTTTCATGTTAATGACCATGAGACACTGGTCATCTTTAAGTATTAAGGACTGAACTTTCATTCTTATCCATTTTTACATCTTACCTTAATTTAATTATTTAAGAACATTTATATAAGTGCCCAACTCACTCTCAGTGATTCTGGATGGCTTACAAGGGTAAAAACCCAATACAAAAACAATAAAAAAGCAATAACACCCTCAACCCTATGTATTCTTAACATTAATCCCACAGGTGCATTTTCAAGAGGCCACATGGAGGTTTATCTGTGCCCTCAGGGTCACTTGAATAGTGCAAATGGATGTGGTTCCTTTTTGAAACTGTGAAAGGACTATATTGTTAAGGTGACCAACCATCCTCCATTTGGGAGGACAGTCCTCCTTTTTTGAGTTCTGTCCTCCCTCAAAAAGTGTCCTCCTAAATGTCCTCCTTTTCCATATACCATCCTCCTTTTGTGAGGACAGTCCTCCTTTTGTGAGTTCTGTCCTCCCTTGAAATTGTCCTACTAAATGTCCTCTTTTTCTATATTTGAAGACTTATCTGCAGGGCTTTTTTCCCCTCATAGAACGCTCAGAAGGCATTCCGGGACCTTTTTTTGATGTTTTTTTTCAACCTTTGCCTGAGCTGTGCTACTCCCCCTATTGGCTTTCGAAAGCCAATAGAAATTGCTGCTGAGCGCACCAAAACACCTGGCTGGCAAACTTTGCACGTGCAAGTTGCAGGAACTTTGCACACCTCACTGCTACCCAACTACACTATCTCCTACTTAGTTCCGCAGATAGCTGGAGGAGACTGGAGCGGTAAGTTTCTCTTGATCTTCCCTGTTCGGTTCTACACAGGGATGAACAGGGTAGGCGGTGGTGCTGGGCGGCAGCTGGGGGGTGGCTGCAGGGCCAGAGCCAGCATGGCTGGTGCTTTGCGAGCCACAGGGCCGGCTCTATGGGGATGTGCAGGGTGGGCAGTGGTGCTGGGGGGCGGCTGGGGGGGCAGCTGCAGGGCCGGAGCTGGGGCAGCTGGTGCTTTTCCTTTGCGAGCCGCGGGGCTGGCTCTACGGGGATGCGCAGGGTGGGCGGTGGTGCTGGGGGGTGGTTGGGGGGGCGGCTACAGGGCCGGAGCTGACGCAGCTGGTGCTTTGCCTTTGCAAGCCGCAGGACCGGCTCTATAGGGATGCGCAGGGTGGGCGGTGGTGCTGGGGGGTGGCTGCAGGGGCGGAGCTGGCTCAGCTGGTGCTTTGCGAGCCGTGGGGCCAGCTCTCCACGGCAGGGCAGCGGTGTTGGCAGGGCAGCTGTGGGCGGGGGCGCGGTGGGCAGTTGACCTTCCATGGGCTGCGCCAGCTGCCACCACCTCACCCTGTGCACCTACGTGGTCATCCTGGAGCACCTAGCTCACAACACCTGCCTCCGCCGCCCACCCCCGCGCAATCCAGCTGTGTAGATTTTTGGACAAGTGAGAAATCGAGATTGAATGTTGATACTCTAGCTGCAGCACTTGCCGTAAAATTCAATATGAAGGATATTTCTTGTTCAGATATTTCCAATATATTGTTAGAAGATGATACATTGACAAAAAATATTCATTCAGTGGGAAAGTACTCATTTAAATAATTAATAGGCATGTAAGCATAATTACAATATCAAATGTTATTGTTACAAATGGTTTTTATTATGCATTTATCATATTATAGTGTATTCTTTATTATTGTTGCAACAAATACAATGTTTCTTTTATTTACAATATTTTTTTTCTTCAATTTATTCGTGTCCTCCTTTTTGTTGTAAAAAAGTTGGTCACCTTAATGTTGTAAACAGAAGATAGGTGGTATCGTCTTCTTCCTCCCTCTGTTGAGAGAGGGCTCTTCATTTTTAATGTAGATGGCCTCTTTGACCCCTTTCAAACAAGCAGTCCTCTCTCTCCACAATGTGGACTTTGCTGTCTTCAAAAGAGTGGCCTTTATCTCCCAAATGCAGATAAACTGCTAAATCTTGTCCAGATGGGTTTATTCTCCTATGTTGTGCCATGTGTTTGTGAAGTGGTTGTTTTGTTTCTCCCATGTACAGATCTGCACGTGTCTTACTGCATTGTACTGCATATATTACATCGATCAGTTTGTGTCTGGGTGTTTTATTCTGGGGGTGTACAAGTTTCTGCCTCAGTGTATTCTTGGTTTTAAGGTGTACATGTTGTGTTGATTGAAAATCCTCTTGAGCTTTTCAGATATTCCTGCAATACATGGAATGACAATATTACTTGTTTATTGTTTTTTCTTTGTCTATTATGGAGGAGCTGCTTTTTTTTTTTTTGGATTTGATGATCCACACATCAAGGAAGCCCTCAGAGCTTGTGGCTATCCCAAGTGAAAGAATAAATAGTACATTTATTTATATTGCCCCATATTGAATATTGCTTCCTTTCATGCTCCTCCCACAATTTCTGTTATTGCCATGCCAACGAGGGCTGACATGGTTGATGTCCAGCACTTTCAAAAGGAACCAAGTTATTTAATCTTGATTTAGATAATTATTTCAAACCTGAATTTATAGTTTGAAGCAGAGAACCCATAGATATCATTAAAATTCAGTCTTCAGAAATATTGACTAGCAAAGTGAGAAAAACTGAGATCAGAGATTCAGCAAAATATGGACAGCCATAGCTTTTCCACATTACTATATTCTTTTTGCTATTGCTAAAATCATATAAGCATATTCAGAAATTGGATAGAATTGCCTACCAGTCACAGTTCCTGACTTCCAATTTCTGTCATTTCCTTTATCACATTGGCATACATTTATACATATATCAATACTGATGAGAAGAAGGGCAGAAAAGTGTTGTTAGACATTTAGTGCAATAAGCCTAAATTTATTCACATATTAAAAAATGTAAAGGCCAACTCAATCATATTAAACCCTAAAATACTATATAAAGCCTCCAGATGGTATACTTGTTTAATATATGCAAACTTGTGTTCCTAATACTGTCACTCTTATATTCCCTCATCCCCATACCCTAAATTTACCTATTATGGCTCTTCCTGAAAGAGGACCTTCAGCAACTTGTTAAACCTGTTGGCATCATTGAAATTTTGTGTGGGTTTAAAAGCCCATCAAAACAGATCTTATTATAACTAGAGATTAAAAACCTGTTAATTTAGTTGTGCCCAATGTAGTGGAGCAACAGCTATAAACATGCATTCTTAAAATGCGGTGAATGGCTTCTTTTATTTGAAGCTTAGAAGGGTAAAATAATTTTACATGGGAAATTGGCTATACTTTCTTGATGCATTTACTTACTAGATTTTTACGGAAATAGTCAAAAGTACGTAACGTTATCGTTTCATGTTGAATGGAAACTCATACTCCAGCTCATTATTGCAATTATTCTTGTTAAGATAATTATCCCTTCTTGCCCTTCTCAATCCTTTTAATGAACTCTATCTTCCTAAAATTTAGGATCTCTGCAGTGGCCGTTTGTTACTCTGGTGGAAAACTGTTACAGAGGACCACTATTGCTACATAGAAGGACTTCTTTTTCCCAGATCTCCTGAAGAGGAGTAATGCTCAGCACTTGACAGAGAGAGCCCATTTGAAATAGACAGTTTTAAGTACATAGTTGCCAAGCCATATAGCGCTTTATAGGTCAAAGCTGGAACTTTAAATTTTCCTATTGGCAACCAGAACACCATGGTATCAGTATTATATGAATCTAGCATCTCTTGGCTGCCAACAAGGAGGCTTCTGAACTTTAAATTTTAAAACTAGTTCATCTAGAAGAAAACTTAAAACAAAATATGTCTTCTACCCACTTTGTAAAGAAATCTTATTCCTGCCCAATAAAAGAAGCCTTGGCTTCAAAGTAAACATAAGCCACTCAGAGACGTTGGATATGAGATCGGAAGCAAGTAAATTTCATAACAATTAAATAAATAAATAATAAACATAAAATTAAGTTTCTGTCTTCTTTTATGTGTCATCCCTCCAGGCATTAAGCAGTACATTGTTCACTTCATCTTGTTCAAGCTGAACACTCTCTTTTCCTCATAGGATTTCCTTTCCCTTGACCATTTCGGTTACTATTCCCTGGACCAATTGAAATTCTTTATTTCCTTCTTAAAGAATGACATCCAAAGCTGGGTATGTCAGATATTCAACTAGTATAAAATAAAATGAAATTACTATTTCTACTGACTTAGAAACTACAGCTCTCTTAATACACATTAATCTTCTTTGCAGCTTCATCACACTGCTGATTCACATTCAACTTGTGACTGAACACCTTTCTAAGATCCTATTCATATATACATCTGCTCCTGTGCTATATCGGTTTTTGGGCATGATTTCCTTTATGTCTAAGTGCATTGATCTCTGATGTATTTCATTTTACTTGATTAAGTCCAGTTTTCTATTCTAGAAACAATTAATTTTGTTGTTTCCTGTATACTTACTTTTAATTTTCTTTCTGTTTTAAGAAAGATCCATGTCAGATTTGTGCTATGTTCAAATGTATGGTAGTTCCTTGCCTTCATCTATATTACTAATAAAAGTATTAAAAATTACATCCTTTTGTACTTGCAGCAACTTACTGAAAATTTCCTTTCAATTTAATGAAGAACCATTAATGAGCATTCTTGGAGTATAGTTTCCAACAAATGAAGGCGAATATACATTTCTCAGGTTAATGTTACAGGATCCAATCTGGGTTGGTCACCAAGACCAGAGGTTTTGTATCCCAAGCTTTTAGACTCGTGCTGGAATCCATCTTCAGGGAACTTTTTTCTAGCTACAGTACTTTCCAAACCTACTGGGAACCTCTGTTACAGTATGATATATCACTAATTCTAATACTACTAAGCAAATCTACAGAGGTTACATTATGATTGGCTTGAAAAATATACTTGGCATTCATATTTTTGAATTCTTACAAATACAGACAAGCAATAATTTTCTCATACAGTAGTCCTTGACTTACAATCACAATGGAGTTTCGAATTGCAGTTAAAGTGGTTGCAATTATAAATCATGGCACAACATGACAGGACTCAGTTTTATGATCCTGTTTACAATGGTCATAAAGCAAGTTACTATAATCAAAAAGTGAATCGTGGTGATTAAAAGAATCCATTATTCCAAATGAATGTTTTGTGCTGGAAATTAGCAAAAAGAAAACCCAAACATGTGATCCCAGCACCCTGCAGTCAGTTGCAAATGAGAGTTGATTGTCATGCACCTGAAATGTAATCATATCACCACAGAAAATGTGTGGTAAGGCTGTCATAACTCTGAGGAGAGGTCATATATTCATTGAATAGTACCTCAGACTATCTTCTTTCATTCGTTGATGGCCTGTAGGGCCTTTTTCTTTTAGAATGTATACATAACAAAATGTTAAACAATTACAATAACTAATTTCCTCTCTTCCTTCCCTCCCTCCCTTCTTTCTCAAGAAAATGAAGGCAGACTCTACAGTTTAGTGTCTATTTTGAAACTGTGAGTCTGTTGTTGGTAAAGCATTTAATCTGTATTATGTAAGATGGCAGCAGGGGTAAGGAATGGGAAATAAATCTGCCATAGGGTCCTCCCACAGAGGTTCTTGGTTCCTCTGGGATGCAAAATGCTATGGCTGGAAAGCAAGATGCCACTGTGGCTATGGTCTGTAGTAACTGATCGGAATTTCCATCTAAAATTGATAATAAAGAAACTTAATATTAAGTTTATACTGCTGTGGTGTGATTGGTTGGATTTCAAAAAAATATTATTAAAATATTATCACTACTGCTATGCAATGATTTTTCTTCCTGAACTAGCTGTACTGAATACTATATAACAATACCTTAGTTCTTGGCATTGGACATTTTAATATCCATGCTGAGGATACCCATCAAGAGCAGCTCTGGAATTATATAAATTGGGGATCTGTCCAGATTGACATCTTATCTCACATATGCAATAAGACACACATTAAATTAGGAACTGAAAAGATTTAAATGTAGAAAAATCCCCTGTAGCTATGTTTTCATAGTTAGATCATCTCTAGTCAGTTTAACTATTATAAACTTCTGTGGTGATTGAAGAACTGTGAAAACAGTCCAATCTAGTTGTCTGAAGTTAATTTAACCTATAAATAAGTTTTAAACATTTCACATTGTAAAGTTGAGCAGTAGCACAATTTGTACATAACATTGCAATGACCCTGTAAATCTTTGTAACAGGAGAGTCATCACTAAGAACACATAGGATTCAACTTGTGCTGAAATCAACCATTTAAGGCACAAATTTCTTTAAAAGACAATGGGTGATGAACAGTGTGATAAATCCAGGCTGTCTTTTTAATCATGTGAAATCTGTTCAAAGATATATTTGCTAAACTGCTGATAAACTGCAGTATGATCTGAGAATCATTAGCCTGTCTGAAAAGTCAGAATTCAGGCTATATAAGGTCAGTCTTCTTGTTCTATTTTTATGGATAATTTCTAATTAATACTACTCACTGATTGCATCCTTGGGGAAATGTAGCAACCAGTTGCAAATTGAAACATTCATTCCTAAGTAATGAAAGCAAGGGATAAAAAATCAGTGAGTTTATGTGCATGTGTTGTGTGTGTGTGTGTGTCAGTCACTTTTAATTGGGCAATATGAGACATTTCGGGACCAAACTTTGTCAATAGGTTTTTTGTAAGTAAGGTAACCCATAGAATGCCAGGAACCATTACTCCAAGGGAATTAAATTTGTGAAAGTTGTGGCTGCTTCAAAAAATTAGACAATTTTGCTGCTTTTATATAGTTAATATACTAATTCCAATTTATTGTGTATATTAGTTCCAACCTATTCTGAGCAATGAAAATTTGAATGGGTGGGTAGGGTAGCTGATATTTGGGGAATGTGCCATTACTGATTTGTGAATATATTTAATTTTCTGTAAAATATAATAATAATAATAATAATAATAATAATAATAATAATAATAATAATAATAATAATAATAATAATAATAATAATAGGAGGAGGAGGAGGAAGAAGAAGAAGAAGAAGAAGAAGAAGAAGAAGAAGAAGAAGAAGAAGAAGAAGAAGAAGAAGAAGAAGAAGAAGAAGAAGAAGAAGAAGCAGCAGCAGCAGCAGCAGCTGCTATTCTGCTGTCTCCAGGCACTGCCACGGATAGTGGATGTGGCAGTGCCTGGAGACAGCAGAATAGAAGAGAAAGAACTGGAGAAGATAACAAAATACAA